TTTGTCTACTTTTGTTTTTTTGGTCAAAATTGATAATATTATGTATTTCCTATTATTTCCTTAATTATTATTAAAAGTTAATTGCAGAGTAGTAATTTTATTACTCTATTTTTAAGAAATACGGAGTAACAATCATTATTATTTAGAAAAATAGTACTCCGCATTAGTCATTGATAGTCGTCATTGGTAATGGTGTCATGGTAAATCGAGAAAACAAGAGGACTTGAGAAAAGAATAAGATGAAACAATAAAAATAGTGTTAAATTTAATATGTATTGTAAAAATAATATGAAACAATAAAAATAGTGTTAAATTTAATATTATTATGAATTACGATGTATAATTTATAACCAAGTGAATAAATAATTTTAATTTTATAAATGATACGTAAGTTCCCTCTTCAGTCACAAACATCATATTTTAAATTCCCATGAGTAAATTTTTTTTAAAAATGGGACCTGCCAGTCTTTATCCGAAAATAAGGGGTACCTGGCAGCAATTTTTTGAGAAGAGGAGGAGGAGGAGGATAACGGAGAAGAAATGTTAACGGAGAGAATGACGGATTGTCACCTCGGAGTCAGTTTTCGAATATCTTAAGGTACCTCGGAGTATATTTTGAAAAACAATGGGACCTGCTAGTCTTTATCCCAAAATTAGGGGTACCCAGCAGCAATTTTTTGCTTGCCCGATTTTTATTTGAATCACTCAATAAAAACAAATGGATGATGGATGAACTTATGACAATCAGGTCATTTGCGGGCGAAGACTTTGTTGTGTATATAAGTTTGTTTTAGTGTCAAATGTCCTGATTTACAAAAAAAATCTAGACTGTAACTTAGAGATTTCATCATAAACATAATTAATATCTTGTTTTTCTAAAAAAAAATCGATTTTATGTGCTTCATAAGTTTTTGTTTTCATGAAATTAATCATAAAAATTTATTATTGTTACTATCCATTTTCACCCGCTTTATCCATTTCACTCGCAGGTGATAAATGGATAGCGTGATGAGTGATGCATGTAAGAGATAATGAATGGATTGAGTGATGGATATGGAGTCAATGGAGATGAAGGGGAAGCTTCATCCGACCAAAACCTGGCTTGTTTTCATCTCTAACTTGGAGTAAACGAGCATTGCACTTGATGAAGATTCATTTTTATATTTCACACATAAACTTAATTAAAGGAGAAGCTATAATTTAGAAGCTAAAAGGTATTTTAGCATCCCAACAATGTTTTAATAAGTCATTTTTAACATCGGTTAGGCTTTGAGATTATGGAAGACATTGTCCCAATTAGGATATCTACGGTGCTCCGTTCGTAAAATTGATAGTTCATACTCCCTTTGTCAGCCCGGTAAACCCTCATCCAGTCCTTACCCCAATCTATCTCCCTACCCACGTCAATTGCATCCCGCAAGTTTAGTTGACTTTGAAGTAAAAAAAATTGGTCTCAAAGTCAACTAAACTTGCGGGGTGCAATTGATATGAGTGGGATATGAGTTGAGGTTGGGACTGGGTGGGGGTTTACCGGAGGTAAAACTATCAATTTTAAATTCGAGTTATAATATTTGACGAATATTATTTTTAATTCAATTTATATAAAAATAAAATTTACTAATTAAAAACTAAATTAAAAGATCTACAAAACAAGTGGTGACAAGACTATTTTATTTTATCAATGAAAATAGGTAAAGGAAGTAAATAAAGTTTGACTTAATGAATAGTAGTAACTGTGAAAACCTTGATGAACAAAGGGAGTATATTTTAGTACTCTCCATCTCAAAATAAGGTTCATGTTGGGTTTTTATTGATTGGCTGAAGGTATTTTTAAATAAATATAGGTAAAAATGGTGTAAAATTAAAAAACATTATATGATAAAAAGTTACATCAAAATTTTTACAAAATAAATGTGACAATATTTATTTTTTACCAAATAATAGATAAAAATGTATTAAAAAAAGTAGAGTTAGTTTGACTTGTAAATAATACTCCCTCCGTTCCACAAAATCCTTCCGGTTTTGACTTTGGGGTAAAATAAGGAAAGTGTAATTTTGGTTGACTTTCCAATTTTGCCTTTGATGTGATGGGAAAAAGTAAGATGTGATAGTTTGGTTATTAGTGAAAAAGTATGATGTGATAGGTAGGGTATGAAAAGTAGGGGTAAAAGTGGTTTTTTAATAAAAAGTGGAAGTGTTTTGTGGAAAGCAAAAAAACGAAAGAAGAAGGGTTTTGTGGAACGGAGAGAGTAATTAGGAGTTCATCTTTGTAAGTATCTAGCTCTTCCCTCTTTCCTTCTTATCTAGATAGGGTAAAACTAAATAACTAGAATATGGTAAACCTAAAAAACTAAAATGTATTTATAATTTATTTATATAAATTGTGAATAAATTTTTAGACAAATTAAAAAAACAAAATTAATATTCTATAATCAAAATTAATTTTGTTGGATAGGTCTCAAATATAGAAATTCAATGATATATCTTATGAAAGGATCTGAATTATGGATTTAAAATTATGATAATTTAAGTATAAAAAAATGAAAAGTAAAATCGATTTGGTTGGACAATTATCTGAAAAACCAAATTATAAGAATGAATAATAGAAATTGAAAGAAACCAAATTATAAGAACGAATCATAGAAATTGAAAGTAGATCTCAACAATGTTTTTTACGTTTGCTTAAGAGCTTGTTCTTTAGTATTGGAAAAAAAAGTTAAATGTTGGAAGAAATTGAAAGAAACTGGAAAAAATTTAAAGAAACAAGAAGGAATTGGGAGAAACTGAAAGAACTGAAAAACACTAGAAGAAAAACTAGAAAGAACTAGATGAAACTGAAAAACTAGAAAAATTGGAAAATTTAAAAAAAACCTTAAAAAAATTTATTTTAGTGTATTTTTATATTATTCTCTTTCTAATGCTTGTTGTTATAATTTTTTATTCTTATCATCATCATCATCATCATTTTTATCAAGTTATCTTAATGGTTGCTTTTAAGATTAAAAAAGTATTGTTATTTTTCATACACAAAAAAAAACTTTTGCAAAAAAATATAATAAGAATATAAAGTTAGCATAAATATCAAAATCTTAAATTTTAAAAAGTTAGTGTGGTTACGTTGCACCTCAATTTATTTATGCACTATTTTTTATAAAATAATATATTTGTAATTATACTTTATATATTACAAGATTTTGTTTTAAATATCAGACATGTCACATAATGTAATCAAACCTTTTTTTCTTTTATGATTGACATTTTATTTTCAATGTAACTCCTACTTTTGGAATAAAGACAAAGGATTCTTATTTTTGTACATTTTTTTCTATTTTACTCTTACTTTAGTCTTGGTCTCTAAACTATTTTGACTTTCAAAAATTTTTATAAAAATTTGAAAAATGAAAAGAAAAATTAATTTTTTGAAATAAATAAAAATAAGAAAAAAAATTGAGTGGCCTTTTTTTCTCCGCTCCTTTTTCGGGTTACCAACATTTTTTGCTGATTTTTTTCTTTTTCCCCCTTTATTTTCTTTTTTCTATGTAACTATTTTATCCATATTTTTTTAATATAGTTTAAAATATTGATGTTCTCCTATTTTATCATGTCTATTAATATACAAAAAAATTATTATTCATATTAAAAATTTGAAGAAAAATAATTATGAGTGTAAATCGTAAAAATAGTGAGATGAAAAAATGAAACAATTTATAAACTTTAGTTATGAACATAATAGCTGTAATTATAATAGTAATACTTAATAGTAATAATGATAATCATTATCATCATCATTATATTAAAAATATACTCCCTCCGTCCTATAATGATCTTCCCAGAGCACTATTCCAACTTCATGAAAATTTATATTTATTTATGTTTTTTCATGGCCTATATGATAAAATAAAATATTCTTGTCACTACTTGTTTTGTTGAACTTTTGGTGTAGTTTTTAAATATGTATGTTTTATTTTTTATTTCTATACCAATATTTAAATAAAATAGATTGAAAAAACTTGGAATTTTTC